CGATTTGATCTCTGTGAGACCTCTACTCATCCTTTGAGGCATTTTGTTCTCTTACTGTTTGAGACTGCGTGAAATCCATAACATTGGTTTCTTCATTAATTGCCTCTTTAGCATCATCCTCTTCAATGTCGATGGTCTCATTGAGCAAGTCATCGTCTGGATCGACTGTTGTAATGTAGTTATGGAGAACCGTGCATGCTAAAATAATATCAACTTGGGCGGGGAAGGGATAGTGGGTTTTTACTGTGAGAATCTTGAACGATTCTTTAATATACCAAAGGTAGCTTCAACCTTTGACCTCAAAGATGAATGTCTAAAATTGAATAACTCACTCCTATTTTGAGGTGTTCTCCCCATAAATTCTTTTAGATGATAACGAACACCGCGATACGGGGATATAAAACCCAGCTAGGTTGTGTACCCCACATCGTACAAGTAATATTTACCTACATATTACAAAGTATTTTAATAAGATATGACCATGTAATTATTAGTGAGGAATATTAGGCAAATGAGTAGTTGCTTTTGGGTTAACGAGATTGTTACTAGTGTACACCCGTAAGCCATATGTCTGTGGTCTAGATAGAGCATCTTGAAGGATTCTATAGTCGTTAGCCGACCCCTCCCACCCAGCTAATACATAGGTGAACAGTTTGTTTGGTGTACAAGCCACAAGAATATTTTGTGTGACACCTTTGCGCCCTTTGAAACGCACAACAAGTGTAGCAGGTAGCACAACATCCACATGTGTCCCATCTATCATACCTATGCAACCCTAAAGAGTACAACTTACTATGTTAATGTAATGTATGATTTGTATAGAGAATTATTTGCATAATTTGGTAGAGTGGATGATATACCTTGAAAAATGGATAAAATGATGGATTGCTTAGGATCTCTTGATGCACCTCATTCAGTGCTTGTTTCATATATCGGCCTTGTATATACGAAATTGCTTGCAATACTCTGTTGAAGTATCTACCGACTGTCTCCCCTGATCTTATAAATTGTGTTCTTATTATACGATTTTTGGATTTATGGCCCAATATATTCAATGTTATAGCAAGCTACTCCTCTACTGTTATATGTCTTGAGTCCTTTAAGAGATGGTTTTTCCTCATTAGCTTTGCTAGTTTAATAAAAGCACATGAGTGCATTCTAACAAAGTTTTGACAGCTATCACTGTAATTGTGATATATACGACTCATCAACTCTGTCCTAATTTTTTCATGCCTTAGTCTTTCTTCACTTGGTCCAGACCGTATTGATCTATGTCGACACTTCATTCTCCTCAAAAAATGTAAAAACTAGAACCATGACTGAAAATGCAACCCCGGTACACATTCTTATAACAACCTCTTCATCATCATAATCACCATCCATCTACAATTTTTGCTTATCAATTAAAATTTTAAATTAAAAATCAAAACGCATACATATTAAACCCATACAAGAAATATTTGTTGTAGGGCTGTGGACTTATTAATACCCATTTAAGCTTACAAAACAAGCAACCCAGATTTTAGAACTGCCATTGTACCTATCTACAAAATAAGCAGCTGAGAAGTGAATAACTATTGTTGAACACATATTTTTACATAACACAAATTTAATATTTTAAATGCCAAAGAAATTTAGGAAACTGGGTTGGTATTATCCAGCAAATAAATTTTTTATGCACCTTATTTTAACTAAGTTGGTATTATCGATCAGATAATTTTAATGATACAACATATTAAATTCCTAGGCATAAAAAAATGACATCAGTTTAACTAAAGACTGAAAATTTGCTCTAGAACAAACATGATCAATAGCAGATATGGGAAATAGCTTGTAGATATGGGAAATAGACCCGCTCATGTTGGGGTTAGGAAATAAGACCAGAAAAGTTTGATAACTTTGATCAATTGTTTATTAAAATAGCTTACAGATATGGGAAATAGACCCGATCATGTTGGGATTAGGAAATAAGATCTGAAATAGACCCGCTCATGTTAGGAAAAATTATAAAATTACCAAAAAGGATGGGAGTTAGAAATGGGGAAATTGGAGGAAAAAAGATAGAATAAATCATAAATCTCTTCAATTACCTGCATGAAGTAGTTGTTATGAATGCATAAACCCCCAAATCTCAGATTAATATTTGAGGATAAATACTCCAAATCAGATGCATGGTGAAAATTTATAACTAAATGGCTATCAACAAGCGATACCTTAAGATAAAGTCAAATCGAACCTCTAGCAATTGATGGTGAGGGAACCCCCGTTAACAGTCAAAATCAAACTGAGCAGGTGCAGATCTGGCTACGCTGCAATAAGTAGAAGAGAAAAAAAATTACAACTCACCCAAAAAAACCGCCCTTTCTGCTAGACCTAGCTGAGTAGCCTTGCCAAAAATGCCTGAATGGTCATCGACCGCTTCTATCGTTTGATAGTTCATCAGCGGTAAGTTTTGTTGGCTGAAATATTGGCGAAATCAATGATTAATAATGGCAGAGCAATGGAGACACCAAGAGGTGGAAGGGGGAATGATGAAGAGGCGGTGAAGGGAACCCTAAAAACGTTTCCCAGTTTTCATTCTCGCCGTCTCGAAAAAATCACGGCCTTAATATTTTAATGGGCGAAGTGACATTTCCCCCTGTTTTCACATACGCCTAAATCCGCTAAAAAAATTTCTCTAAATTGTGACGTTGACCCCTATTTTAGAGCCCATTTTCTATAAATCAGCAAATAAACCAAACATGTGAGATGGAAATGTTCTGAAACCTAAATCCTATGTGGCACTCAAATCAGTTTTCAAATCCTTATTTTCCTTATTTTTTTGGGCAACCAAACAGCCCCTTAGGTTGGGACAAATTGGGGCCAAGTGAGAAAATTATTCCAATGGAACAATCTTATCCCTTTGAGATATTTTGAGTGGGGTAAAGTAGGATAATGAGACAATTTGAGCCTTTGATTTGACAATTCATGTGTGATAATTAATGATGTGACACCTTATTAAAATATAATTTTATCTATTAATTACTTCTAAATTAACTTATCCAATTGGTTTAGTATATTATTTAGTATATTATTATAATATAAATATTATTTTACTTTATATTAAAATATAATATGATGTACTATAGTTACTAATTAATATTATTAATTATTATATTATATTATATTAGCATGCTATACTATATAATAATTAATATAATATAAGATCAATATATTTAATATAATTATTTAATATAATACATTATTTTATTAAAAATATAATATGTTATACTATAATTACTAATTAATATTATTAATTATTATATTATATTACATTATATTAGTATCCTACATTATATAATAATTAATATAATATATGAACAATATATTTAATATAATACTTTAATAATATATTATTTAATTTAGTATATTATAATATAGTATCATAGGATATAATGTAATGTATAAAATATTTAATATATGTTATAAAAATATTAATATATGTTATTAAAATATTATATAATATTATAATAAATAAGTTATACTATAATTACTAATTAATATTATATAATAATATATTATATAATATAATTAATATATGTTATTAATATATGTTATTAAAATATGTTATGAAAATGTTATTAATATATGTTATTAAAATATTATATAATAATATATGCTATTTATACAAAAACATAATATGTTATACTATAATTACTAATTCATATTAATATAATATATTTATTAAAATATCATATAATATTATAATAAATATGTTGTACTATTATATAATATAGTATGTGATATTGCATAATAATATATAATAAATATCATAAAATAAATTATACATATAAATTGAACTATAATAATATTTTATTTTATTACATGATAATATAATATAATATATTGAATATATTATTACTTTATATTTTATATATCATGTCATATATTTATAATATAATTAGCATGTATTAGTTTAAGTAATACAAAGAGGTTTGAAAATTATCCCAATTGTCTTCAAAGTGGAGCAAAATTATTCCAATATGGAAGACAGGGTAATTTTTTTACTATTGAGATATTTTTTTTTGTATATGAGTGAGGTAATTTTATCTCAAGTGGTGAAATTATCTCACTAGTGTTCCAAAAAACCAATAACACATAAATGTATTGTTCTTGTTCCATTGTCCCAATGAATAACACTATGAAATAGAATCCCTAAAATTATCCCATTATCCCCCCAAATGTCCCAATGAATAAACCCCCTTAGGGGGGTTAGTCACCCAGAACTTAAAATTAGAACTGAGATAATCTGCAGGATAAATTTTTAAGGTGTTAGTCACATAGAACTAAAACTAGAACAAAATTTTACAATGTTAGTCAAGTAGAACTCTAATAAAACTAGAATTGGGATAATGATACAAAATTATCCAACTTTTTTATTTTTCTATACAAAATCGAGAGTTCTAGTCTCTCAAATTATTCCTAGTTTTAGCTTGGAACTAGGTGGTAAAAAACTAGAACTCGTATTTTTTTTGTTATTTTTTATATTTTTTTCTTTACTTCTTTCCTATTATGGTTATCACTATTATTAGACCATCATTATGATAATAATTGTTAATATCTTATAGTCTAATCAAAAGTTATTTAATTAATAGTAAAGAACATTCTTGTAAGCAATTATCAATTAATAATAGTAAGTTTAAAATACATAAATAGTATTTATATATTATCAATTAATAATAGTAAGTTTAAAATACATAAATAGTATTTATATATTCAAAATGCATAAATATATATTTCATGATTATAAATTAAAATACATAAATAGTATTTATATATTCAAAATGCATAAATATATATTTCATGATTATAAAAATTTATTCCATGTTATTTTATCAAAATATTCCGCTTCACAAAATTATTCCTATTTATCCCACTAAATAAAATTATTTCACTTTAACAATTATCCTATTTTACATGAAAATGCCCCTTAGGAAAATTTATAGGAGATTTAAGTGCAATTAAGCCATTGCGGCCGAAAGGAGCCATTTCCTCGGCAATCGCAATCCAGGAGGCATTCTATCCCTTGAAGCATTTCGATAAACAGTCGGCGGAGTCGAGAGAGGCTCAATCAGATTCGAAAAAATGGTGAGAGGAAGCAGGGCTCTCTTCAGCAGCAGCCTCATCAGCAACTCGCTCTTGGATATCTTAGTCTGCCCTCTTTCTAAGCAACCCCTAAGGTCTCCCTCTCTATTAACAACTAACCCATCAATTCATGGATTTTTGGGAAACCCTAGTTCTTATTTCTTCCCTTTTCTTTTTCCCCGCCTGCAGGCTCTGCCAATCCTCGCAGTCTCTGGTCGGTGATGCCATTGGGGTTTCCTTTCCTGTGAGTTCGCTCAGTCAATTGATTTCTGATTGCGATTTCAAATCACCCTTTTTTTTGTTGCTAAAAATTTCGCTTAAATGGAAATTTTCTTGCTCATGATCGCTAGTTTTGAAGTTGTTTCATCATCAACTCTGTGTTGGGTTTAGCCAGAGGATGTTAGATTTGCTACTTTTCTTTGTTGGGTTTTCTTATAGGTTAGAACATGTCTCGCAAATGTTTCAAAATGGATTATAATCCACTTTGTGGATTATAAACCGCTTACAATCCACCCATTTGCCAAACATGTATAGTTCGAAAATTGGTCATATTCCACTATTTTTTTGCAGGCATGAAAATGCATCCACGTTATCGTGCAAGTGGAATGCATTGTTTGTTCAAAAGAAAATAAATAAATAAATGAAAATTGTTGAAACTAGGAAAGTGAAAGTGACACGAATGTATTCTTTTATTTAGTACTTAAAATATATTTATGATTTCTATGTAGTGTAGGTGTAGTTTGAAAATTGTAGTTTAATTAGAATTACACACACAATATAAAATTACTATTTTATTTGATTGAGAAAACTAAATAATGTTGGAAATCAGAACTTAGAAAGCTTAGAAAACTGAATGGAGGAATGTGTTATTCAATTCAACAAACCATCGGCTATTTATAGCCTTTTACACAAAAGAAATAACAAAAATCTACGCTTTACAAGCCTATAGTGTAGTGGTTAGAAAACAAACTCTAATAAATAAATAAATGAAAATTGTTGAAACTAGGAAAGTGAAAGTGAAACGAATGTATTCTTTTATTTAGTACTTACAATATATTTATGATTTCTATATAGTGTAGGTGTAGTTTGAAAATTGTAGTTTAATTAGAATTACACACAATATAAAATTACTCTTTTATTTGATTGAGAAAACTAAATAATGTTGGAAATCAGAACTTAGAAAGCTTAGAAAACTGAATGGAGGAATGTGTTATTCAATTCAACAAACCATCGGCTATTTATAGCCTTTTACACAAAAAAAATAACAAAAATCTACGCTTTACAAGCCTATAGTGTAGTGGTTAGAAAACAAACTCTAATAAATAAATAAATGAAAATTGTTGAAACTAGGAAAGTGAAAGTGAAACGAATGTATTCTTTTATTTAGTACTTAAAATATATTTATGATTTCTATATAGTGGAGGTGTAGTTTGAAAATTGTAGTTTAATTAGAATTACACACACAATATAAAATTACTCTTTTATTTGATCGAGAAAACTAAATAATGTTGGAAATCAGAACTTAGAAAGCTTAGAAAACTGAATGGAGGAATGTGTTATTCAATTCAACAAACCATCGGCTATTTATAGCCTTTTACACAAAAGAAATAACAAAAATCTACGCTTTACAAGCCTATAGTGTAATGGTTAGAAAACAAACTCTATCTTCCCTAAAGAATAGGTCTTATTTCAACAAACTAGTTGATTCAGTAAACTCAAAACAGAAACAACGAACCTATAGCTAACATTCCCTCCCTTAAGCTAAAAACATTTGCATTTAGCTTACTTCTGATGTATTAACCATTCCAAGCATACTACGAAGTTTCTCAAACTGCTCCAGCTTAAGTGGCTTTGTCATCAAGTCTGTAACTTGTTCTTGAGAATTGCAATACCTCAACTCCACAACAACATCATTCACCAAATCTCTTAAGAAATAAAATCTCACATGAATATGTTTACTTTTTCCATGAAAGACTCGATTCTTAGACAATTGATTGGCAGAACTATTATCACATTGAATTATAGTACCTTCATGCTCCTCCACTCCAATCTTTCCCAGAATTCTCTTGAGCCATATGCACTGACATGCGCATAGAACTGCTGTGATATATTCAGCCTCAGTGGTAGACAAAGTCATCACTGGTTGTTTTTTAGAAGACCATGAAACAACTCCAGACCATATCATGAACACATATCCAGAAGTACTCCTATCGTCAAGATCACCAGCATATCCGCTATCCGTGAATGCCAAGAGTTTTGAACTACCGTCTCCCTTTGAGCTGCCTTCTCCCTTCTTATAGAAAATGCCTAGCTCAGTTGTCCCCTTCAAATACCTTAGAATCCTCTTGGCTGCCAACCAGTGTGACATGGTTGGGCTAGACTGTACCTGCTAATGAGACTTACACCATACATTAAGTCGGGACGAGTCACAGTTAAATACATGAGACTCCCAACTACTTGTTTGAACAAAGTTGTATCAACTTTAGTTCCTCCTTCATCCTTTGACAACTGGGTACCAGGAACAATTGGATTTTTTACAGCATTGCTACGTGCCATTTCAAACATTGTTAATACCTCTCGTGCATATCTTCTCTGACAAATAAAAACACCATTCGAATTCTGCAACACTTCTACTCCAAGAAAATGCCTCATTCTTCCCAGATCAGACATGTCAAACTCCAACATCATTGAGTTTTTAAACTCATTACACATGCTCATATCACTTCCAGTAAAAATTAAATCATTTACATAAAGGCTTACTATCAAAATCTTACCTCGTGCTAACTTGGTGAACAAAGTATGCTCACTGGAACATTTCTCAAAGCCTTCACGCAGAAAATAAGTCTCAATTTTGTTGTACCACGCCCTTTGTGCTTGCTTGAGGCCATGTAGAGCTTTCTTTAATTTGTAAACCCTTCCTTCTTCTCCCTCCTTAATAAACCCTTCAGGTTGTTGCACAAATACTCTCCTTGAGCTCACCGTGAAGAAAAGCACTCTTCACGTCAAGCTGAAAAACTTCCCATCCATACTATGCTGCTACTGCAAGTATTACTCGAATGGTGTCGAGTCTTGCTACTGGTATAAATACTTCAGTATAATCCACTTCATAACGTTGTGCATAACCCTTAGCTACCAATCTTACCTTGTACTTTTCCATGTCCCCATTTTCATTAAGTTTGGTCCTGAAAACCCACTTAACTCCAATAGACTTAGCATCCTTAGGCAGATCCATTAACTCCTAAGTCTGGTTCTTCTCTATAGCTTCAATTTCTGTTGCCATCCCCTCTCTCCACTTCTTGCTCTTGACTGCCTCTTCAAATAAAAATGGATCATCTGTTACCATCATCATTGCATGCATATCTTCCTCTTCTGAAAGCCCTTCACCCGTTTCATAATCCGTCATCCAGACTGGTTCTCTTCTGATTCTTTCATCCCTCTCTTCAACTGCAACTTCTTGAGTGTTTACTTCATTTGAAAGTGAACTACCTGAACTGCTACTGCCTGAGACATTCTCAATATTCTCCTCCTCAATATGCTCTTCATCACTTTCTTTATCATCTTCTAACACATCCAACTTCAATTCTTCTTCAGTTCTACCCCAATCCCAACTCTCTTCTTCTTCAAATAGAACATCATTGCTGATGATAATTTTCTTAGTGGCTGGATCATACAATCTGTAAGCCTTGGATTCATCACTAACACCCAAGAATACACACTTCTTAATCCAACTTACTCCTCTTCTGGTCTGAAATGTGAACATGAGCTATACACCCGAAGATCCGAAAATAATCCACCGTTGGCTTCACACTACTCCATGCTTCCTCTGGAGTTTTTTCTTTCACTGTCACAGTTGGACTCCTGTTTTGAATGTGTACACACCACTTTACAGCTTCAGGTCAGAACATTTTTGGAACTTTCTTCTCAGCTAACATTGACCGCACTGTGTTCTTGATTGTTCTGTTATTCCTTTCAGCAACTCCGTTCTGCTGTGGAGTGTACGCTACTGTCAACTGCCTGCTTATACCTTGAGCTTTGCAAAATTCTCCAAATTCATTGGAGTTGAACTCACCTCCTCTATCTGTTCTCAAACAAGTAATATATGCACTAATCTCCTTTTCAACACATGCTTTAAAATTTTTGAATGCAACAAAAGCTTCTGACTTCTCATGTAAAAAGTAGACCCAAGTTTTACGTGAAAAATCATCAATAAAACTTATGATATACCTTTTATTACTGTTGGAAGCCGGTTTGATAGGTCCACATAGATCAGAATGCACCAGTTGAAGTTGCTTCGATGCTCTCCACGAACTCTGCTTTGGTATAGATTCTCTGTGTTGTTTGCCGACCAGGCAAGCTTCACATAACTTCTCTAGAACTTTTGAGCAGAGGCACACCATCTACCATCTTTCTGTATGCAAGTGTTCTCAACCCCTGATAATTCAAATGGCCAAAGCGACGATGCCACAAGTGTGATTCTTTTTCAGACAAAGCTTAAGCTTGAAGACACATAGAATTTTTTGGTGCCATAGATGCTAACAAATAGAACATTCTATTTTCACTCATATTAGTTTGCATAATTAACCCTCTTCTAGGATGATAGACTCTACAAGTCCCTTGCTGAATTAAAATAGCTAAACCCTTCTCCTGAAGTTATCCTATGCTCAACAAATTGCTCTTCAATTCAGGTATGTAAAAGACATCTGAAATTACCCGAGTGATGCCATTCATTTGAAGTCATACACTTCCTTTAGCCACCACTGCCATTCTGGTGTCATTACCAAGCTTCACCGTTTGTCGAAATCCTTCATCCAGCTCTGATAACCATTCTTTGTTTCTGGTCATGTGATTGGAACACCCAGAGTCAAGGAACCAAACTTCTTCTTTTTTGGTTTGATGAAGATCGACATAGGACATCAATAGAAGCTCTTCTTCTATAAGTTTAGCATAGTTAGCCTTCTCCTCCCAATCAGGACACTCATATTGATAGTGTCCCAACTGATGGCATTTGAAACATTCTATAGTAGCTTTATTCTGAGACATCCACCCTCTTCCTCTACCTCGATCTCCTCGGAATGAGCCTCTACCTCTTCCTCTTCCTGGCTTATCATCATAAGAGATTCTTAATGCTTGTTCTTCCTCATGACACCCATGCATTCTCTGTTCTTGAACCAGCAGACTCCCGTGGAGCTCATCAATGGTCATGGTATCTAAATCATTTGACTCCTCAATTGAACAAACAACGTA